TTCGCCATTTCCAGAACTCAATTTTCAAAATCCCATTGGATCCGATAAGATAAAAACTTATATCAACAATGGCCTTCAATCGCGACATAGTGGTATGTATTTTTGACTATTTCCAGAATTCAATTTTCAAAATCTCATTGAATCTGATCGGACAAAAATTTATATCAACAATGAGCTCCAAGCGAGATATGTAGAGACACACTTTTGACAATTTCTAGAACTCAATTTTCAAAATCCGATCGGATCCTATAGGATTGAAACATAAATCAATGGTAAACTACAACGGCGACATGTAGGTTTCCATTTTTCGCCATTTCCACAAATGAATTTTCAAAATCCGATAGGATCCTATAGGATAGAAAGTTATACCAATGATAAGTTTCAATGCAGATATGTAGGTATGAATTTTGGGCCATTTCCAGAAGTGAATTTTTAAAATCCGATCCGATTCTATAGGATAGAAACTTATATCAATGGTAAGCTCTAATGGAGATATATAAGTATGCCATTTTCGGCATTTTCAGCACTTAATTTTCAAAATCCGATCGGATCCTATAGGATAGAAACTTATATCAATGCTAACCTTGAATAGAAGTATGTAGGTATGCCTTTTTGGCCTTTTCCAGAAGTCAATTTTCAGAATCCGATCGGATCCTATAGGATAGTAACTTATATGAATGCTAACCTTGACGAGAAGTGTGTAGGTATGGCTTTTGGGCCATTTCAGAACTCACTTCTCAGTGTCCGATCGGATCCTATAGGATAGAAACTTACATTAATGCTAAGCTTCAATTGAAATATATAGGTACGCCTTTTTGGGCATTTTCAAAATCCGATGAGATCCTATAGGATAGAAACCTATATCAATGATAAAGTCCAATGGTGATATGGCAGTTTGGATTTTTCGGCATTTCGAAAACTCAATTTTCAAAATCCGAGTGGATCCTATAGGATAGAAACTTATATGAATGGCAAGCTGGAATACAGATAGATAGGTATGCCTTTTTAGCTAGTTCCAGAACTGAATTTTCAAAATCCGATCGGATCCTATAGGATAGAAGCTTACATTAATGCTAAGCTCCAATTGAAATATATAGGTACACCTTTTTGTCCAGTTCCAGAACTGAATTTTCAAAATCCGATCGGATCCTATAGGATACATACTTATATGAATGCTTAGCTTTAATAGTTATATGTAGGTATGCCTTTTGACCGCTTTCGGATTTAATTTTCAAAATCCGATCGGATACTATAGGATACAAGCTTATATAAATGGTAAGCTCCAATGGAAATATATGGGTATGCCTTTTTCATCACTTCCAGGATTCAATTTTCAAAATCCTATCGGATCCTATAGGATAGAAGCTTATATCAATGGTAAGCTCCAATGGAGATATGTGGATATGCCTTTTTCATCACTTCCAGGACTCAATTTTCAAAATCCGATAGGATCCTATAGGATAGATACTTGTATGAATGCTTAGCTTTAATAGTTATACGTAGGTATGGCTTTTTGATCACTTCGAGAACTTAATTTTCAAAATCTGATCGGATCCTATAGGGTAGAAACTTATATTAATGCTAAGCTCCAATTGAAATATATAGGTACGCCTTTTTGGGCATTTGCAGATCTGAATTTTCAAAGTCCGATCGGATCCTATAGGGTAGAAACCTATATCAAAGATAAAGTCCAATGGTGATTTGGAAGTTTGGATTTTTCGGCATTTGGAAAACTCAATTTTCAAAATCCGATGGGATTCTATAGGATAGAAGCTTATAGCAGTGCTAAGCTCGAATGGAGATACGTAGATGTACATTTTTGCCATTTCCAGAACTCAGTTTTCAAAATCCCCATCGGATCCAAATGGTAGAAAACTTATATTAATGATAAGCTCCAAGCGAGATATGAAGGTAGGTATATTTGCTCATTTCCAGAACTGAATTTTCAAAATCCGATGTGATCCAATAAGATAGTAACTTATATCAGTGCTAAGCTCGAATGGAGATATCTAGGTATACATTTGTTGCCATTTCGAGAAATGAAATAATTTAACTGAATTCAATGTCATATTCAGACCTTTTTAAACAGTTTCGAAACTAAAAATTTTCTGTTTTATGAATTTATGAATATACTGAAAAGATTCTACGTTTGAAACGATTTTTGTCACAACGGATAACGACATGTTGTTTTAGTGTATATTTTGGTCAATTGGGCAGAAACATAGAATCGAACTTACTACTTCGGTACTTCAGCACTTCTTTTAGTTCGTACTTCATAGAAACCTGTGTGCTCATGTTGAAAACAGACAGTTTGTTGTTATCAGGTGAACAAGCTTTCTCGCGGGTAGCCGCATTTTATAAGTTCCTTGATCAAGGCATTATATACTAGAAAAAATAACTATTCTGCTGCACCTTAATCCAAAACCTATATTAAACACACTACGTTTCAGTGGCTATAAATCATGAAACTTTCCGGCTCACATAAGGTAAAATATAGATTCCAAACATTATCATAATAAATAAAATCGACCACAGATTCAAAGATTGATGGAATCCTATAGAAATCCGATCGGTATCCGACCGTCGGAATAAATGGGGATTTCAACAATCGGAAGTTATCGGAAGCGTATGAGTATGCGATTGTCGGATCCGATCGAAATTCTGCAAGCCGGATTCCGATCGGATTTTTGTCGGATTTTTTGGACCTCGGTTGAAAGATTGATATAATCCTATAGAAATCCGATCGGTATCCGACCGTCGGAATAAATGGGGATTTCGACAATCGGAAATTATCGGAAACGTATGAGTATCCGATTGTCGGATCCGATCGGAATTCTGTAACCCGGATTCCGATCGGATTTTTGTCGGTTTTCGGGTCCGATCGGATCCGATAGGATCCGTCGTCGGATTTTTGGACCTGGGCTTATAATTCATCGATTGATGTTCGGTGCTATGGAACATCTAATCAAGGAACACATTCTATGTCTGTTTGTTCCTAATTACATAAATTATTCTTTTTTCATGTCAATCTCTTACAAAAAAAAAATGAGCATCCCAATTCTAACCTAAAATCCTACATTGATAAACTTTCTCACAATAAGTCTATCGAATAGATAATCAACAATCCATTTATAGTCCAATTATTATTCAATCAATCGAAAAACAGATCGGCTGCTATTCGAAATAGCATAAACCATTCAATTTCAAGTGTTTTAACAACGAATTTACTAACAGCAAAAATTTAACCAATCATTCGATACTTCAATATCACGAGCATTGAAAAAACCTACTTTATAAAAACAAATAGCTCAAACTCTCTCAATTACATTTCAACCAATGATTTAATGTTCCCATATCCCGCAGCGCGAAAAAAAACTATTCTATAGAAACAAAACAAATAGCTCAAATACTCTCGATTTCCTTTGAACCAATAATTCAATGTCACAATGTCCCCCAGTTCGAAAAAAATCTATTCTGTCAAAACAAATAGCTCAAGTACTCTCGATTTCCTTTGAACCAATAATTCAATGTCACAATGTCCCCCCAGCTCGAAAAAAATCTATTCTGTAAAAACAAATAGCTCAAGTACTCCCGATTTCGTTTCAGCCAATCATTCAATGTCCCCATGTCCTAAGCACCGATATAGAAACTACACTATAAGGAAAATGATGAGTAAGATTTACTTTTACAAGAAAACAATAAATAAAATGACTAATAACTTTTCATCAACAAAATAACAGTACGAAGATACTTTTTATTGTTCCAGAAGTAATAGTAAATATAAATTTGACAAGAACAAACAAGTTTTCTTGAATGTGTATTAGAAAAATTTTTAAAAAAACAAAGTGAACTAAGTGATTACACAGAAACGACTTTTTGTACTTTAAGTTAGAAAATAATCAGAAAAAAAAAAGTTGAATTTGCTTCATTCTATCTATCAGAAAAGGGAAGCAACAAAAGAATGAAAATAATTCTATGGCTCATAAATGTGATGCATTGAAACTAAAGAAAGTCAATTTAATGCTAACAACTTAGATGTATCCGTAAATTCTTATTGTATGAGAATTTTTTGTCGAGAATCTATTAGAACTTAACTGGATTTTAACTGATATAAAAACTTTGCTTACACATCATACTTGTTGTTATTTGATATGTTCTTCGAAAAAAAAAAACACAGTTTACTCCAATGTACACATGAGAGTTAATCATTTTCTTGTCTATGCGCATATATTGAAGGATTACTCGTTCTGCTTTCATACATAAACGGGTAATTCTATCAACCATTAAGTTGCTAATTTATGATAAACATATTCCATATGTTTGTAGATATGAATGTCAATCTACCAACAAATGATGATCGTGTAGAAAATAACATTACCATTAATATTCACAAAAATCAGTATACTCATTATCAATGTTGATCAATTTGTATGAAGTTAAAAAGAATGTGGTTGATAATTAACAATCAATCAAACACATATTACACCAAGAACCAAAGTTGAAAATTAAGTAAGGCATAATTTCCTTTTATTTCTAGATCATTCGAAAAAACTTTTCATCAATGTTTGAGTTATTTCATCTTTCTGGACAAAGTTCAAAATATGATAGAATTCAGTTATTGAAGTCTTATGGAGATAAAGATGAATTGATTCACAGAGCAATACAAAGAATAATATACGAAGAAGAACTAATTCGAAAGTGTTACGAAGTTCAACAAGTCGCTGAGGACTTGAACAGTGTTAAAAATGCTTCTAGATATAATTTAAGTTTGAACTGTAAATTTATACATAAGAGACAGCTTTTTCTATTGTCTACTTCTCATCGTACATTGCGATCAACGACCGAAGAAAATCGAACACTTGGTGGTAAAATAGAAATAATAGGCTTGTGGATATTAATCATGTGGAGTTATTTAATTACGAAAAATCATAATAATGACACAAATTATCAAAGTGTTAAACGAATACAGTTCTCTAGTGAACAAAAACCTTTATCACTCATGTTCAAGCATTTATGATATACACTTAATACCTACATTTAGTCGAAGAATTTGGTAATATGCTTATTTCGTCACTGTTATCGAAGAAAACTTCTCCTGTAAATCATATACATTTGAATCAAAACAATTGAATATGATCGAGTTCAAAAGAAAATATTGTTAGAAACAAATTGAATATTTAGTTATTTTTTTTCAGTCAAAATACAATAAATATTTCATTAAACTTATAATTAAATTTCAAATAATCCTATTGCTTATTCTATTAATCTTAATAAAACATTTGATATATTGAATTTAATTGTTCAAGACTACAAAAAAAAAAAACTATAATTGAAAAACAATATAAAATACAAGTAAAAAATTGTTTTTATGAAATTTTGTATTCGATCTAATGTTGAGTTGATGATTTTTCAGCAATAGATTCAGCAAGACGACTTAATAAAATTTCAACTTTAAGTTTTAACAAATTGTTTTCTTCTTGTAATAATTCATTTTGTTTTCGAATTTTTTGTACATTGCTACTCAAAATTGTTTCACCAAAACTTTTAGCAGCAACTAATTAAGAAGATTCTTTATTCATTAATAGAAGAATAATAATGAATCATCCTACCTGTATTCCAATCACCATTTTCAATATCAAAAACAATTTTTTTATCAGCTACTTTTACATCAATTACTTCACATTTCGGACCTAAATCACGATAAAATTCATCAGCAGACAATTTCAATGGACTTCTTGAAATTTGTTTTCGTGGTTTTACTTTCTTGACTGAAAAGACACTTTTAAAAAATGACATTTTGTCAAGCAAATCTCTTAAGTTTTTAATAGAATTTATTCACCATTGAATAAATTGTTGCTATCGTATACTCAAATGGCGCATGCATTGTTTGATAATACAAAGTTCTATTTGTTCATTCATACGCCAATAGAAATAGAACTAGAACTTTATTTTTCTATGTGTCTTCATCAAAATGAAATTTTCTCTTTGTCTCTGTTGTATACAACAAACTTTTTCTTTTGATAATAAAATTAATCACAATAACAAATTCGAACGTGATCAAAATACTAGAAATTCTTATCTTAGTTATCTTCATTCATGAAAGAATACAAAATATGATCAATATTCATGTCCGAGTTAAAGATGAGTCAGTGTAATCTCAATAACTCGACGATGACAGCAAGTAGCAACCTGCTATTTTTAACAGTCGAAAGCGGAGAACTTCCGATATCTTTTTACTCTGATATTATATAAGACAAAATTATTTCAAGACCTATTATCTAGATAATAAGTTTTAAAATAATTATGTCCTATATATTATCAAACAAAAAGACGTCCAAAATTTTCCTCTTTCAATTGCTGACACCCGTAGGTTGGTAGTTGTTGAATTATTGAGCTTACACTTGTCACCCTTCTTTTATTCACATGCAAACATTAGTTGAAAAAGAAATATTTACTTTCTTTATTAAACATATATTAGTTATGAATACGTTCCATTCATATTAGATACAAATCATTTTCATATTAGAATAATCTACTTCAATATCAATTCAAGATAATTATTCACATCAAGCATCTATTTATTGTAAGAGAATTCAATATATAATTTTAGAAGTTGCTAATAATTTAATGAAATATTGTAGAAAACTATGGATTAATATAAAGTATATTTCGTTAACATTTAGTTTATCTTTGTTAATAAAAGCAATGATAAAATAAAATACAGAAAGTTTGAATTCGCTAAATAAGAAGTCGTGTACACTTATTTCTAACGTTCGAATATAATAAAAATACATTGGCCATTTATAGTACTTTTTACAAAAGAATTAGCTAGTTAAATCAGAATATATTAATAATTCATCTTGATGTTTTCAAGAGAATACTAGATTTACAATATCATTTATAAGAATAATCTTCAAATTCGCTTGTACGTTATACACGTACTTTACTATTCGAACTAATTGTATATGACATTCAAAATCGATACAAATTTACAAAAGACAAACTATCAATTATAAATCATTATGCAAAGAATTTCAATAAATTTGACAGTTTGCATGAAATCAAACACGCGATATGATCGACTTGCAAGGAAGGTCCTCCTGTATTCATATAGTAAGTGTTCCACCACAAATGCAGAAATATATTCTAACTGCCATCTTCTGAGAAGAAAAGGTAGGGTTTTTTTTAAATTTTTGCTAGATGCTACAGCACTGCATGAGAGAGAGGATGTGGACGATTGACATTGGAGAAGTATTTCTCCCTTCAGTAAATATCGATTACAATGTACCTCTACATTCATGATGAAACACCTGCTCTATGAATATCGTGTATTATTAGATGCAATATCACTGCGATTTCTTCTCATGAAATTTATTAAATCATTTTTTTTTGTCTTCCTTAAAACCAATTCACTCGTCAATTGCTTTTGTATAAAGTCGAAATTCCATGCCAATAAATACCCAATATAAAAAACATTTTTTTCTCTGATTCAATGAATTTTAATTTTTTAAAGAAATAAATCTTATTAAATGTTTTTTTTTTTCAATTATGATTTTTTCCATATAAAATTAATCATCTTTAGTTATTTATTTTTTCTTGTTCAGAAATATATATAATCTTTCTTTCTTATTCGTACATACATTGTATCCATTTGAAATGCATTACTATTTTATTTTTCTATGTCGATGAGCGACAATCGAATAAAATTTTGAAAGAAATCGTTATACAATAAAATCTTTATTGTAGTATATAATTTGAAAAAAAAAAACATAAAAATTTAGGTTTTTTTTCGAAAAAGAAAAAAATTTCAATTTGTATCTAACCTCTCTGCTGATGTAAACTAGCCAGTCTGTGTTTTAACAGAGAAATAGCTTACTAATCCGCCATCTTGCTCAAACGCTTGCCTGACTCTCGAAAAGTGTATATCCATGCATTTATATTTTCTAATTGCTGTTTTTTAAACAAATATTAATTAAATTTTTTTTTTGTATCTATTTTACTTTAGATTATGTCACCAATCACACAAAATGTCTAAGGACAAGTATGTCAATTTTCTTGTTAATTCATTATCAGAAAAAAATAATTAGGAAATAATTGATAATAAGTTATTGTCTTTAATCTTTGTTTTTTTTTTATAGGAATGACACCAACCAGAACTCGAACACAGGTGTTCCATCAATGGAACCTGGTAAGTAGAAAAAAACAAAAAATATGTATATCAAAATTGAATTGAATATTTAGATGGAACGATCGAGAGCAACTGGACTGAAGTGGTCGAACAATTCGATCAGATGAATTTACGTGAACCACTTTTACGTGGTATTTATGGTTATGGTTTTGAACGACCTTCTGCTATTCAACAACGTGCTATTAAACCTTGTATTTTGGGTTAGTTTTTATAATAAATCATTAATATTTTTTTTCTTAATTGATATTGTTTATTTATTTTAGGTCATGATGTCATTGCCCAAGCACAATCGGGTACAGGCAAAACAGCAACATTTGCTATTTCAATATTACAACAACTTGATCCGGATTTCAAAGATTGTCAAGCATTAATTTTAGCACCCACTCGAGAATTGGCTCAACAAGTATATTTATAATCATAAAACTATATTCAAACTTTACTTATTCACTTCTCTTTTCCTTTTTTATTTATTTATATAGATTCAAAAAGTAGTCTTAGCCCTCGGTGATTATATGGGTGTAACATGTCATGCTTGTATCGGTGGTACTAATGTTCGCGATGATATAAAACGACTTGAAACAGGTGTTCAAATCGTTGTTGGTACACCCGGACGTGTTTATGATATGCTTAATCGATCAGCTCTTCGTATGTATTCGAATGTTTTTTTTTGTTTCTGTTGATCTTTAAATATTTCTCATAAATATCATTATTAGGTAGCAAAAATATTAAAATGTTCGTATTAGATGAAGCTGATGAAATGTTATCGCGTGGTTTTAAAGAACAAATTTATGATGTATTCACAACAATGCCACAAAATATTCAGGTTATTCTTCTATCAGCTACAATGCCTGGCGATGTACTGGAAGTAACAACTAAATTTATGAATGATCCAATTAAAATTCTTGTTAAAAAAGAAGAATTAACACTTGAAGGTATTCGACAATTTTATGTTACTGTTGAACTTGAGGTAACAAAAGAAAAAACTAAAATAATATCTATTTATATTTAATTTTCTTTTCGTGTTTTTTTTTTATAGGAATGGAAATTAGATACGCTTTGTGATTTATATGAAACATTAACAATTACACAAGCTGTTATCTTTTGCAATACACGTCGAAAAGTTGATTGGTTAACAGAAAAAATGCGTTCACGAGATTTTACTGTATCAGCAATGGTAAGTTTAAAGACAAAAAACAAAAATTCTTATTTATTTATTCTTTTGGTTTCTAACTGTGGCCAATATTACCAAACATATATTTTTTTCCTTTTAAATATAATGTACTGGACTTGGCCAAATATTAAATAAATCAATTGTAAAGTCATTCTTTCTTAAATAAAAATAATTAGAGTGAACAAATATTGATGAACAAAAAAAAAAAATTAATTTTTTTTTTCTTATTGTAGCATGGTGATATGGATCAAAAAGAACGTGATGTTATCATGAAAGAATTTCGAACAGGTTCTAGTCGTGTATTGATTACAACTGATTTACTTGCACGTGGTATTGATGTACAACAAGTTAGTCTTGTTATTAATTATGATTTACCAAATAATCGTGAAAATTATATTCATCGGTAAGATAAAATTATCGAAAATTATTATTCAAATTTGTGCGTGGTTTTTTTTTAAAAGTATTGGTCGTGGTGGTCGATTCGGTCGAAAAGGTGTAGCAATCAATTTTGTTACGGATGATGATCGACGAACATTACGTGATATTGAACAATTCTATAATACACAAATACAAGAAATGCCAATGAACGTTGCCGATCTGATTTAAAAAAGATAGACATCTGTTCTTGTCCTTTCATCAAAATCATCAGCATCAAACCAAAAAATAAAATCTTTTACCATCTTCTATTTATTCTGATGATAACAAATAAACTTATAATTAACATCATATTTTTTTTCTTTTGTTTGCCTTTTTTTTTGATTGAAACCTATAATGGATACATACACATACACACATATATATATATATATATATATATTTATCCACAACCGTGAGACATAATTACTTTAGTCAACAATGTTTCTTTTCATTTTCTGTTTTTTTGCTGTCTTGTTATTTTCGTCTTTCTATGTTTGTTGTTACGTTATGTTTGTCAAACGGAAAAAAAAGTTTATTTCATATCGTAGATACTATCTAGAAGATTAAGCCAATTGACAAAAAAAAATCGAATATATGTATGTGTGTATGCTGGGAATGCATTGTTCATTTTTGTTATCCATTTATTCTTAAATTTTTGTGTTCTTACACATCACAACGTTATCATTCGTCCCTGTCTACACACATACATATAAAACGATTCCTTTCTTTTCTTTTTCTTTTTTGTCTTATTTCTTTCGTTTAGGAAAATAATTGATTTTTCCTCGTTCTATTTCTTTGTTTAGCTAAACAAAAAAAAATATACTATAAGGCAATAGAAAACAAATATGTAGATATCTATTCTTAATTGATTTATTGTAGTGGGCAAAAGTCTCCACCCCACCGCGTTTCAACTAAATATACGTATTGAAAATCTGAAAATTCATGTGCGCATTATTCCACCAAGAAATGTAGGTTAGGGCCACAACTGTATTGGGATTACTTACGTAGCCAAAAGGGAAT